CCACCTTCATTCAGGCCCCGCGTGGTGGTGGAAAGTGACTCAGGAACCACTGGCCTACCCAGGATCCTGCACCTTTCCCCTCCCGGAGCTCCAGAGGGCCATAAGCCTTGAGGCCGTCTCTCTCTCTTTTTTTTTCTTTTAGATAATTTTTATTTATTTATTCTTTTTATGTGTGTACCGTCAAATTGGATCTGACTGGTACAGGAGGCGATTGTTCCTCCTGCTTCAGCAGAGCATCTGGTGGATTTGAACCGCGCACCTCTGGGATTGCAGAGGCCGTCTCTTGGACTTCCCCTCTGAGTCCCCTCCCAGACACCAGGGGCGTCTGTCTGACTGAATGTTACTCTGGGCCCTCATTAATTTTTAACAATTTTCTTTAGAGGGCAAACTCAGATCTGTAGCACAAAATAGACTTTAAAAAAGAGCTTTTTTGTATTTGAGCCAACACTGGGGCGTTGTGAAAAGAGTGCTGAGAAGTTCTGAGGGCCTTCTCTCAATCTCCCCTAATGGCCACATCGATGGAACTAGAGGACACTGGGAGCCCAGCCCTGCCCAGCGTGTTTGTCTGAGTCTGAGCCATCTTGTCACATAAGTAGACTGGCACGATGCACTTTAAGGACCCACCTGAGCCCAGCTTGAGTGTGACTTCTCGGAGGAACCTTCCTGAGGACTCTGAAGGGGTCTTATCTGATTCTCACCCCTGTTGATTTCATAAAGGCTGGCTCCTAGTGGAGGGGACCCTGTGGGCTTGCAGAGTGCCTCTCAGCCTGAGGCTGATGAATGTCACCTTGAGGCAGGGTTTGATTTAGGACTGAAGAGAAGGGTCCCTGGGAAGTGGGGTAGTTTGCTGTCCCCTGGGAAAGGAGATGGGATGGAAGGCTGGGTGGGTGCAGAGCCTGAGTGAGTCAACGATGACCAGGGTCTGACCTAGTCCTAGGTCTTGGCCAGTCTTCTGACAGTATTGAGTGTCTGTTCTGTCCAAACCCTCAGCCAGGTGCTGGGGACACAGCGATGACTCTTGAGTTCCCCAAAGGCTCAGAGTCAGGTGGAGACACAGACTCACATGTGCAAGTGACATAAACATATCATAATCACACTAGCTAACATTTATTGGACACTTGCTGTATACTTTACACACACTATCTCATTTAATGTCACAGCCACCCTCTCCTCTGAGGTCATTAGTGCTATTATCCCATGGCACAGATGTGGAAATACTGGTCTGAGAGGTTAGGGCACCTGTCTGGGGCCACGCAGCTGGCTCAAGGATTCAAACCCAGACAGTCTGGGACCTGGGAGACTGTGAGCCTATGGTTCAAAGTGCCATGAATGCACTGGGAGACTTTGGGCAAGGTCTGGAGGTGTTTGGGGGTGTCGGTACTTTTGGGGTGAGGTGCTACAGGCATCAGCAGGTGGAGGCCAGGGATGTTTCTTAACATCCTACAATGAATGCACGGATGCCCCACCACACAGAGTGATCTGGGCCAAAATGTCAATAGTGCCAGACAGAAAGCTGAGGGGTCAGGTTCCAGAGGGGCTGCCAGTCCCTGATTGGCCAGACCAAGACACCGGAAGGTGGTTTCCACTGAGCAGACAAAGGGCAGTGGAGGTGGAGAGGCACACCGTGCATAAACCAACCAAAAACGTGGGACTGCTGCTGTCTCCCTGGACGCTGCAGAAACAGGCAGGCATTGCTTCTCGGCCTTTTGGCTAAGATCATGTGCAGAAACAGGCAGGCAGCTCCAGAACCAAGCAGAGGAGCGGAAACTTTGCCCTCTGCCCCTAGGTTGTTGCTTAAGGTGATAATTTAAAAAACAATGTCCCTGATTTTGTAATAGATATTGCAAAAAAACCACCCACCACAGTTCTGGCTTATAAGCAGTTCTCCCTCGGGTTTCCGAGGGTGTAAATCTTCACAGAAGAGCTTGGCCCACCTGTCTCCCAAGGTGTGGCTGGTGAATTCACCTTTTGGTTACCTAGCTGATGTGTTAAGCCTTTTGTCACCTGGGTTTATTTTGAATCCACATATCCATGATTCAAAATTCAAAGTGTAGACAGTGACAAGTCTTCTCCCTGTAGCCTTCCCCAGCCCTCCGGTTTTCCTTCTGGGAGGCGATGGAAGTAATCTGTACCTTATGTATCCTTTAATATTTTCTTCTTGTATTTACTTCTTTTTCTGTGTCTCTTGAAAGTTCACTGGTCACATTGATTTCCCATTCATAGTATTTCATTCACGACCTTGATTGCTGTCCCCACTGTCATCTCACTTCCTCCCTGTGATTCCCATCACTGTGAAATCCTTCATTCTTTCCTGTCCTTTCCTACCTTTTGAGCTCTATCTCTGGGCAAATGCTGCCCTTTGGCCTCCTACTGTGAGTTCTAGATGTTGCTTTTAAACCAACCAGCACTAATACAGCCCCCAGATCTACTGTGACTTCCTACTGGGTTTCTCATCAGCCGTGTTCTCCTGATCTTTTGAGAAGCCTTTCTCTTGAAAAAGAGAGAGAGAGAGAATACCCCAGAACCCCACACCACCAGTGCTTTGCAAAATTATAAGCCAGAGTGACAGAGCTAAGATTGAGGGCAGCCACGAGATGGTGAGACTGGGGGCCTGTGCAGATAGAGGCTGGAGAGGGAACAGGTGGGGTTACCTGGGTAAGGTCTGGAGGAATGAGGAGTGGGAGGAGTCAAGGGCATCTCACAGGTCTCTACAGGGTAGGGATGGTGGTGCTGCTCCTGTGTTGGGCACAGAATGGAAGGGGAGCTAGGGCAGCACTGAGATCTAAGCACAGTTCCCTACAGATCCCAGCTGACACACCTGTGTGCCTTCTACTTCCTGGGACAAATGGGCACAAGCTAACGAGTCCTCCTTACAGCCGGTGGGACTGGAAGCAAGGTCGTATTAGCCACCCGCCCTCTGCAGCCTCCCACACACTCTGTCCCTCTGCCAGGTGACAAAGGTAGACAGACAGCATTACATCAGGGAGTAAAGGGCATGGCCCCATCTCCTCAGACAGGAATGTTGTTCCTAGATTAGGATTCGCTTGCTCGTTCCTGCCTCCGGAGGGACAGGGTCTCTTGCTTATTGGACAAAGGTTCTCCTCTCGCGGTTGCACTGTGGATGCCACCAAAGCCTCTGAGGCCTTCACGCCGCACTCCAGGCTTGAACTGGGTTCCAGGAGAGAATGCTGGAAGCAGTGTCTTCCTTCTCCTCCTTCTTTGACTTGCTGCCCATTTGTGCGTTCTTATGCTGAGTGGTTTAAGTCACAACCTTATGGATAGACCCTGGGCCAGGAGTTCAAATCCTGCCTCTGCCACTTAGACTCTGTGTGGCGTGGGATGGTCATGTGGTCTTGCTTTGGGCTAAGCATCCTCTTCTGTGAAAGGGACAGATATCACTAAGCATCGGAGGAAAGCCGTACTGCCTTCGAGTAGGTTTGGGGTTGTTTGGGTTTTTTTTTTAGTATTTTACTCTTTTTATTGTGATTTGAGTAACTGTTTACAAGACAAGTTGGGTTTTCATTCAACCATCCTGCACATTTGGGGTTCTTAACATTAATTCCGGAACCCACCATGTAATCAGTCTTCCTACTGCTCTCACTCTCAGTTCCGTTAATCCTGCAAGCCTCTGCCTCCTAAAAGTTCTCTTCTCCACTTCACTTCAGGGATCCACACGCCGCACTCTGGATCCCCTGTGTCTGGTTAGTCTAGGGGGTGCCTGTCCTCCTGCTGTTAGTGCCCCCCCTTAGGATGAAGGTGAAGCCACAGGAGTGAATCTAGTCCCAGGACCCAAGAGGGGGCGATGGGCAGAGTCTTGGTTCTACGAGTTGTGAAGTTGATGCCAGCACAGGACTGTTGGAGCCACACCGCTGGAGAGTAGAACTGTGTCACAGGACTTTCTTAGCTGTAATCTTGATGGAAAGAAGGAGTCCTGGTGGCACAGAGGGTTCAGTGTTGAGCTGTTAACTGAAAGGCTGACAGTTGTTCCTTGCAAGAAATGTAGATCAGGGGTTCCTGCTGAGGTTTGCCACCGCAACTGGGAGAACCTGGTGGAAGGTGGTGCTGACCTGGACTGACAGCAGTCGATTTGGTTGGATGGCCAGGCCTTTCTTCCGCAGCACCTCTGGGGAGGATGGAGCTGCTGACCTTCAGGTTTAGTGGATGAGTGGAAGCCCTTTGTGCCACTCGGGGACCCACAGTGATCCCACCCCGCGCTGGGTCCAGGAGAGTGCCGGGCACTGAGCCTGGCACGTAGTGGCCCTCAGCGAAAGCAGCACTGGCGTCCTCAAGAAGTCCCTAGCGCCTGGTGTTGGAAAACCCTTCACGTCCTCCAGAAAGCAGGCGGGACGGCACCTTCAGTAAAATTTGAAAATATCTGGCCTGAATAAAATATTAAGAGGTGGTTTCTATTTGCATGTTCATTTGCATATATCTGCATAAGAAACACCTTCTTTAGCCTCTTTGTTATGTCCCAAATGACTTTCTCCTGGATTCAGAGAGCTCAGCTGCTGCTCTGAAGTCCTCCTGCCTGAGACCCCTGAGAGTCGCAGCGCCCCCCTCATAACTCCCCCTCACCCCCTCACCCAGATGCCACTCTTGCCAGGAGCCGCCTCCCTCCGTCCCCCGCCCATTCCCACGCCCCCCTCGGTGCTGTGGGCTCAGAGTCCAGAGGAACCGGGAAGATGCAGATGTCTCCAGGGTAAACACACTCAAAATAAATGCCGGGAGTTCTACCTGCAGTCTGCTGAGCCCTCGTGATCGCACAGGGACACTCAGCCATGTGGCCTGGGCGGGCAGGGACAGAGTGCAAAGCCAGGGCCTGGCCTCCTGGCCTCAAAGGCTGTGGCAGAGCTGTACCAAGCAGGCCCGAGCTTTCACTGGCTCTCCTCTGTGGTCACAGATGCTGGAGAGCAGCTGGGCGTGTAAGTCCCAAGACTGGAAATGCGGATCCTGAGGAAGGTCCTTCACCTGTCTCTTTCTGTCTGGCTCTCTGCTTCCAGGTCTGTACCAGCTTCACCGCAGAGCATGCCAACTACGGCCACGTCAAGATGCACCACGGCTACACCAACGTGATTGGCCTGGGCGACTCCAGCACCTGGAAGCTGCCCTGCCTCAACCGCTATGTCTACATGTTCCTGGCGCCTTTCCTCATTCCCATCCTCACCCCACTGGTGGCTCTCGGTGAGTGCTGCTGGGGCTGGACTCCCCTTCTTCCTCTCCTTTCCAGCTTCCTGGCACCTGCTCTGGGGGCACGGGGAGTATGAGTTGAGACTGGTGTTGCTTTTATTGTGTGAGACCCATAGCGACGCTATGTATTACAGCTCGGAAGCCTGCCCTGTCCTGAGCCAGTCTCACTGATTCCGACACACCGACCCCATTACCACAGTTATGCTATTAATCCATCTCATCCGGGGTCTTCCTCTCCTGCGCAGTCCCTCCACCTTTCTGAGCCTGATGTCTTTCTCCAAGGACAGGTCCCTCTTGGCCACGTACCCAAAGTATGTGAGGCAGAGCTTCAAAATCTTAGCCTCCAGGGAGAAACTTGGTTTCAGTCTCCCCAAGACAGACCTGCTTGTTTTCTTGGTGGTCCTTGGTATGTTCAAGACTCTTCTCCAGCACCACAACTTGAAGGCATTCGATTCTTCTTCTGTCATCTTTAGTCATTGTCCAGCTCTCTGATGCATAGCAAGTAATTGCGAAGACCATGGCCTAGATTAGGTGCACCTTAGTCTCTAGGCTGACAATGTTGCTTCTCAGTCCTCTGGAGAGGTCCCTGAAAGCAGATTTTCCCAATACAAGTTCAGATTGGACAGTGACTTTTCAGGATAGCCAGATGCGGTGGAAAGAGTCCTAGAGCCAAGGCTAAGTGCGCCTTGAGCACTTCCTGGCTGGTGACCAGAGGCAGGTGCCTAAAATCTGAGCCTGGGCTCCTTCACCTGCTCCCCCAGGTGGTGTGAGATCGCAAATGAGGTCATAGATGCAAAAGTCCTTTGCAAACTCCTCACCCTCTATCATGGGGACAGAATCATGGTGTGGAAAGAGCAGGACAGTGGGGCAGCCAGACCTGGGTTCAAATCCCACCACCACCTACTATCAGTGTTGAATTGCTTAATGGTCTCACATCTATAAAATGAGTTGACCCATTTCTCTTATCACACGGATTCATTCACTGGGCTTGTCTTGAATGCTAGATCACTTGGAAACTAATTTAAATTGGAGTCAAACTTTGCCTGCTTCCTTCACTCTGTCTCTTAAAAAATATTGTGGTAAATTATAACAATAGAAAAAAAGTCAGTGTTTTAACCGTTCTCCAGCATATGTTTCAATGGCACCCATAACATTCACATGTTGTACGGTGATTACCATTCCCTAGTTTAGAGTGTTTCATCACCCCAAGCAGTACCCTTTAAGCCGTGACTCCCATGGCCCTCTGCCCGGCCCCTGGTGCCCACTGATGGCCTTTGGTCTCTCTCTGTGTCTCTTGCCTCTCTGCAGAGCGGCTGAGAGAGGTGGCGCCCCAGACGGCCCTGCGAACACTGAGCCTGATCGCCCTGGGCCTCTATTCTCACTACTGGTTACTTCTGAATGTGTCCAATTTCAGGAGCCCGGCCACCGCCCTGGCCTGCATGTTTGTCACCAGATCCCTGCTGGCCCACCCTTACCTCCATGTCAACATCTTCCAGGTGAGGGCTCCCCACCTGGGCTGCGGGCAGGCGGAGAGCAAAGGGCACTTTGCAGGGTGCTGAACGGCTAACTGGGCTCAAGGGACTTCCGGGAAACAGGCTATGGGAGAAAGCAGCGCGCACATACACACACACAGCACCATGCTTCCTTCCATCACAGAGAACTCTGGCCTCAGGTAAGGAATTTGATTCTCTTCTGCCTTGGTTGTCATTCAGGCACGGAACACAAATCAGTTGACAACTCGCTATGTGTTGTTACCCGCCAGCAAGTCGGCAGCAACCCTGCGCACCGAGACAAAAGTGCTGTCCAATCCTGCACCATCTCCACGATCGAGATCGCTGTGATCCATAGGGCTCCACTGGCAGATTTGTGGAAGTAGATTGCCAGGCCTTTCTTCCTAGTCCTTCTTAGTCTAGAAATTCTGCTTGAAAACTCATCATCATAGCAACACACCAGCCTCCCTGACAGATGCGTGGAGGCTGAACATGAGTTCATGGCCAAGAATTGAACTCGGAAGAGTTCACAAGGGAGACCCTTGTGAAAGGTGTGAATTCTACCACGAGCCACCAGGGCCCCTAAATGCTGTGTTGTTGCTGTTGTTGTTGTTGTTGTTCAGTGCAGTTGAGTCTATTTTGACTCATAGCAGCCCCAAGACACTAGCTAGACCTGTGCCATCTTCACAGTCCTTCCAATAGTTCAGTTGAGAGGAAGACGGGCGGTCTCCTCCCGTGCGATTTACAGCCTCTGAGAACCTCTGGAGCGTCAGCTGTGGGTTGGTTCTGACTCAACAGCAACAAAGACTTCACCAAGCATGATGTCCTCAGAGATCAGCCCCTCCTAAGGACGAGTCCACAGTCTCCCATCCTCGCTCCCTGGCTGCACTTTTTCCAAGGCAGATTTGCTTGTTCCTTTGGCAATCCACGATGTACACAATTCACGTTGCCGTAATTCAAAGGCACCCACTCTTCGTTAGTCTTCCTTATTAACCGTCCAGCATTTATTTGCATGCATGTGACGTGAAGTGTTTGCAAATACCATGACTTGGGTCAGATGCACCTTAGTCACCAAGTGGCACCCTTGCTCTTTAACACTTTAAGGAGGTACCTTGCAGTCGATTTACTCAGGGTAATCTGTACTGTACAGGTACCATCACTTCTGCTGACTGTGTTCTGACTCGCATTGACCCTTCAACCAGCTTTCCAAGGCTGTAAATCTCTATTGGAGGAGACTGTCCACCTTATTCCCACAGAGCAGCTGGTGGATTTGAACAGCTGATCTTTTGGTTAGCAGTCCTACCTGCCGTGTACTGAGATACCAGAGCCCCTTTACTGTGTGTTATGTTTAGTGCTGTCTACTTGGTTATGTGTTGCTGTCTAGTTGGTTGTGTGTTGTGGTGGTGTTGTCATCAAGTGCTATGGAGTCGAGTATTCCTCATAGTGACCCTGTGAATACCAGACCTGCTTCCTTGTCCCGGCCTGTGCCATCCTCATCATCTCTGACGTACTTGAAACCATTGCTGCAGTCACCGTGTCTGTCTATCTGGGTCTTCCTCTCTTTCTCTGACCCTCCACCTTTCCAAGCATGATGTCCCTTTCAAAGAACTGCCTCTCCCAACAACATGCCCAAAGTATGAGGAACGATTCTTCTCCATGTTTGCCTCTAAGGAGCAGACATATCTCTTTGTTCTTCTGACTGTCCATGGAATATTCAGTACTTTTCTCCAACTCCACAGCTCAAAGGCATCAGTTCTTCTGTCATCCTTATTAATGATGTGTAGAGATCTTTAGTAATCACTATGGGAATACAGGTGACTAGGTGTCCTGTTCTGGGGCACTTTCAGGGATAAATCCAAGTGAAGTGGAGAAGGGGCCACTGCAGGGAACCAAGTGAAGGCCATGTGGCCAGCAGGTGAAGGACTGGAGCCAAAGCTCAGCTTGGGTTCCCTCTGGGTCACTTCCTACTTCTCAGAGCTGACCTTCCCGGGACCCACCACAAGTGACATGAATTATTAAGACTTCATCTCCAAACTGTGCCCCCACCTGCTGGAATCAAAGCTCCTTGCTCTGCGGCCCCTGATCAGCAGGGGAGGCGCTTCGCATGCTCATTGAACAAAGCAGACAAGAGGATTTGTGAACGTGATTTTGTTCTTTAATAAGGTAAATTTAAATGACTTTATTTTGACCAGTAATATTCCAAATAAAGCTGCAGGCTTGAAGCATATTGTTATTCCTTCTTTTAAGGCACTGAGAAGGATTAAAATTATTTTTATTGTGATAAACATCCATCAAGCAGAACACCTGCTGTTTGGCATTTTTCACGGGCACAGCTCAGCAAGTGATTACACCCACCATCAGTGTGTTGTACAGCCACCGTCTCTGTGTCTCCAGATTTCCCCGTTGCCCTTCACAGACGCTCAGTGGCCCCCTAAGCAAAGACCCTTTCTCCTCCCCTCTCCTACCTCTGGTAACCACAGTCAGCTTTGGCCTCTGGACACTTGCGATTCTAGGTACTTCCTGGAGATGGGGTCTCACATATGTCCCTCATGGCTGCCTTTTGTCACTCAGTATCCTGCTTTCCAGGCTCACTTTTGTATCCTGACGTCATTTCGTTTTATCTTACAAACTTATTTTGAGCAATGTGGGATTTTTCTAAACTTAAAAAATAATGGCAAAATATACACAGTGTAACAATTGCCCTTTCATTCAGTGGCATTAACTACAGTGACAGCCACAGATTTCTTCCAAAGCTTTTTCATCATCTCAGGTATAAACTCATTAAAAGCAGTAACTCCCACCCTCCTCTCCTCTCCGTCCTGGTAATTTCCAGTCTAATTTCTGTCTCTATGGAATTGCCTGTTCTCGATACCTCATATAAAGTCCTTGGGTAATGAAAATAGTGAATGAGCTTGAGTGTTAATTGAAAGGTTGGCGATTGAATTCTACCCACAAGTGCCTCAAAGAAAAAGCTGGTGATCTGTTGGGGGGTAGAGTAATGTGAAGTCCACTGCTGACCAGTCCATGGAGCCCAGTTCTATCCTGACACAAATGGACACCAGGATCCACGTTGACTCGCTTGTACCTGGTTTAGGTATTTCCATATCAGTGAAATTATACAAGATCTACCTTTTGTTCTGGCTTCATTTACTCAGCACAGGATGTTCAGGGTGATAAAGATTTTTGACTAGTGTCAGGGTCCTTCCTCTAGCAGGAAGTAAACCGTAATGACCTGAGAGTGGGTGGTCGAGGACGCTAGAGCACCCCAGGATCAGAGGGGTGATAGTCAGGGCCCAAAGATGGGCAAAGCTCAGCGCTGGACACAGACAGGGTGGCCCCAGCGTCCACACCCCCCCATCCCACCGCATGCAGGTGATGACAGCAGAAGAATACGCTGGGTGGCCGGGTGCTGGGGGAGGGTGGGTGCTGGGGGCAGGGCCAGTCCTGCTGGGTGCAGGGGGCCCTGCCCACCCTCAGGACGTGCCCGCGTGTTTTGCAGCACATCGGGCTGCCCATGTTCTCCCCGGACAAGAAGCCCCAGCGGGTGCACATGATGAGCCTCGGCGTGCTCAACCTGCCCCGCCTGCCGGTGCTGGACTGGACCTTCGGCCACTCAATCATCAGCTGCCACGTGGAGCATCACTTCTTCCCCCGGCTCTCCGACAACATGTGCTTGAAGGTAGAGGAGGGGCCGGGTGCAGGGGCTGCGGGGAAGGCCTGTCGGAGGGCAGCGGGTCACGTCTGGAGTGAGTCCCCTCACTTAGGGCCAGAGAGCCCCCCAAAAGGACTGCCCAGTGTTCCAGCACCAG